GCAATGTCAACATTTATTAACGCATGCGTGACATTGCACTTCAAATTTGGAAATAATTCAGTCAAACAGATAGAGTGGAAACATGATTGATGTTTTGATGGGTGATGATTTTATTTTTATTGATAGGATTTGACGGTTTTGTTAATCGGATTAGGAAAGTTTTAGTATTAACATAAGTTTGTGATTTTATCAAAGCTCCATTCTGAACTCGTACCAGGCACCAGACAGTTGTGTATTTGCATTTGCAGTTTCTCCATTCAGTCAACGGTCCTGACAATCGGAAATGACATCAAAGATAAAGATTGTGTGATTGTTCAATGCACATAAGAATTTTGCATGAAACGTTTTATTGGAAAGCATCAAGTGATTGACAAATGTCATATGTTTACAACATGAACAGTATATTCTCTGAGAATACAAAGTCAAATGGGGAAATAGTATATGCATAAATTCATGAATATTTCCTATTCCAATCATTTACAATTGCATCGTCCATATGAAATATTTATTTTTGTTAATTCAAACGTTACCGATACAATCGGATTCAATTTAATGGTAATATACAAAAACAATAAGTGACAAATTCGGATGATGTCTAAACATAATAGTTTGGAGAGATAACGTTGTAGATGGCGTCAGTGATCATCTTGGCCGAATCTCGTTCACAACGTTCGGCTAGTTTATCGTGATGTGTTCGTAGAAACGAACGTAGTGTCTCAGTGATCGTGCTCTGAAAATGTATTCATTCCCATTGACGGTTGTGACTTCGATTAGCATTCCAACTTCGTAAAGGTATAGGATCGAGAAAATTTTACTCAAATCGCCTTCATTACCCTTGAGTGCTCGTGATTTACACTTCAAAAAACCGAGAATTGATTACTTTTGTATGAAGACTAGAGTTTGATTCTAAATTAACTGACTGATTACTGATTGATTGAGTGATTGATTCTAAATTTTCATCGTTAGTTTGAATGAAATGAAACAAGGCTGCAGATTATCTATAGTCTATGAATTGAAGTACAGTGGTAACTTATGAAGAGGTGATGAACCGTGGAAGGTATCTTTCTCGAATTTGTAATCATAACTACATATTATAAGGCCTTCGTATTGTTAAAATAAGATGGAGATTTGACGACAAAGCACGCACACGTATCGCAGAATCTTTGCCATTTACGGTTTTACAATAGTCGAGAATGAGTTGTGCTATCATTGGTGGTATAGTGAAGGGATACGCTCGAATCACGGATGACAACTTCAATACAGCACCGTGTCTTTCAGCTAGTCTTTCACTAGTGGTCAATTTGAGGGCTTCATCCTGAAAATTTAAGGTTTTGAAGAAACTGGCCAGTCAGTCACTTCAGTTCGGCTGGCAGTGTTCAGTGAAACCTAAGAGTTTATTGTCCCAGCCATTTCAACATAGTTTTTGACATATTTCAGTTCACTTTATTGTTTTGAAATATTCAGTTTATTGAGAATGACTAGTTGAATTGCAGTGGAGTTTTAAGAAGTTCTTAGCGGGAACTGACGATGTCGTTCCGTTGGATCATCTGATGGCCACAGTGAATGAATGACGTAAAACATTCAGCAGCTTCAATCCGTACTTCATTACGACTATGACACAATGCCTTTTCGACTAAACTCCTGAAATATTCATGTGTTGTTATCCAGCATTTCATTTTATTTTAACTTTTCATTATTGGTAATCTCAGAAGAAATCACCCAAACAACCACAAAGTATGAAACAGGCGATGTAGCTATTCAAGCAAATTTATTTGTTAAATAAAGTGTTGCTCATGTGAGATCTTAACCCATTAATTCATTCACTTTGAACATGTCAATGCTTAAATTTATGAGGGAAATCTATTAGATTCAACTTAGATGAATCGAAAACATGGAAATGGTTCCAAACAAAACCTTATCAGAGCAGGTCGGTTGTTGAGCTCACAAACGTAGATATTTGAGAAGACGAAAACTTGCAGAAATCTTAAAATGGAAACCCAGGCACGCCAACTGTCACTTTTTGTCATTGTCTAAAAAGGAATCAGCAGTTACTTTTCAAGAATAACTAATGATATGGTCTATTTCATTTGACATTATTGCTATCATTTTATTATCGATAACTCAGTTCCTGATAATATTATCCTGATAATATTGAACATTCCAGTGAGATATCATTCCATTGATGAGTTTGAATCTATTCATATTCGCCTGCGATTAAAGCAATACGAGGAATACTAACAAAAGGTAGGACAAAAAAGCGCTATCGCTTTGTGAAAGAAGCTTATTGAAGCATCTCACCATTTGAACTGTTTGCAACATTAGGTCTGCTAAAGCTTCACTTAGATAGATTCCAGACCAGGTTTGGAACAGGAGTTCGCTGGATGCGACGGCGAGGTCAGCATCACGAACCTCTTGAACTTCCTCATTGCTGAAAGTAATTCGATTTTCATTAGCACATTTTTGGACTAGCTTCATTGGCTTAGACAAAACTAGCACATCTAACAGATTTGGTTGTAGTGCCGTCGTTCTGATGATTTGATGGGAATAAACTTGTGGTCACTTATCAAGCACTGGACTTCGAAGAAGAACTTGCAACAGATTTGCAAGCACTATTCATCGTATTTCCAGACGCAGTATGCCATGATATTTGCTATCATGACCTGACAGATCAGTGGTTGTAATAATCTTGATCTTACATTCGGTTTCTCCCCTTCCCTCGTTCGTATCCCCACCAGACATATGACATATCGTGACATATCGTCATTTCTTTCTTATGGATGGTAGAAAGGGAAGACCAATCAGCATTATTGGAAATTCTGCCTAATCACCTTTAGCCCCATCAAATTCCATGAGACCCACTACAAAAACTACTGCTCAATAAAAGAGTAATGAAAATAACATGAATACAGTATCATCCACTTACTCGGCAGTTTCCTCATTTGCCAGGTGAGTGATCAACGGGAAGAGCGCAATGATTGAAGGTGAGAGTGAAACGAATGAAGTCGTATAATACGATTGAAGAAGTCCCAAGAGAGTTTTCAAACCAACTGAACGCTATAATTCGAAACAATCACAATTTCACCGAAAAATAGGTAATTCTTGACAATTTCAATACGATACATGAATAATAATCATTGAAAATGGATCCGATTCGCTAAATGAAGCGAATTATTCTCGATATCTGAATGGCGATTTCAGAATGGATGAATCTGATTGCTTGTGAGATCATTGCGATCAGCCAAATGTGTGGATAAGCAGAATGAGGAGTGCAAAAACCTTTTGCTGTTTGAGTACATCGATTTTTGTTGTCATTGTCACTTTACGAGTCTTACCCTTCAGTTGCTCACCCTTCACGATCGGAGATGACACAGAACTTTCATTCAAGAGCCCAGTCTGGAATCAATGGAAAAAATGAACATTCCTCTAATGTTTCAGGTGGATTTACTTATGAGTTTCTGACTTGCTTAAGTTAGCTAATCAATTACACTTTGTGAAATATTTCGTGGTATCACCTCTGCGCTGAACAACTGAAGCATTTCTTCCAATGTAGGAATGGTGAATCGACGTGGAAGCAGAGACTGATTACCAGCAGCAACTGCAAACACGGCTGGAAATGATAGCAGCCTGAAAACAGTTGTGTTAGTCTGTAGTGCTCGAGTAACTATAGATCAATTTGATTTAATCTCCATCATCAAGGTACATAAGTAATGGAGGGGATCGGGAACTCAGTATTTCGTGCACTCAGTATTGCTATGTTATGATAAAATGCTATCACGGTTCTTTTTAATTCGAGTATTTAAATGCGGTTAGCTGTTGACAACACTTCGTTCTCCTATTTTCTGAGCAACATTGGCTCGTCAGAGTCTAGCAGGGTTTTCATTTGTTTTAACTGGATTTTCATTCTTTTCCTTGCTGTTCCAATCGCTCTCATAACTTTTATCA